GGACTGGTGGGCTCAAGGGCGGACTGGTGGGTTCAAGGATGGGCTGGCGAGCTCAAGGACGAACTGGTGGGCGCAAGAACAAACTGGTGGGCTCAAGAACGGACTGGTGGGCTCAAGGACGGACTGGTGGGCTCAAGGGCGGGCCGGTGCTCTCAAGGACGAACTGGTGGGCTCAAGGACGAACTGGCGGACTCAAGGGCGGACTGGTGGGTTCAAAGATGGGCTGGCGAGCTCAAGGATGGACTGGTGGGCTCAAGGACGGACTGGTGGGCTCAAGGACGGACTGGTGGGCTCAAGGACGGACTGGTGGGCTCAAGGACGGACTGGTGGGCTCAAGGACGGACTGGTGGGCTCAAGGACGGACTGGTGGGCTCAAGGACGAACTGGTGGGCTCAAGGACGAACTGGTGGGCTCAAGGACGAATTGGTGGGCTCAAGGATGAACTGGTGGGCTCAACGGCAAACTGGTGGGCTCAAGGGTGGGCTGGTGGGCTCAAGGATGAACTGGTGGGCTCAAGGGCAAACTGGTGGGCTCAAGGGTGGGCTCAAGGAGGTACTGGTGGGCTCAAGGACGGACTGGTGGGCTCAAGGATGGACTGGTGGGCTCAAGCTTGAACTGGTAGGCTCAAGGACGAACTGGTGGGCTCAAAGACGGACAGGTGGGCTCAAGGACGGTCAGGTGGGCTCAGGGACGAACTGGTGGGCTCAAGGACGGACTGGTGGGCTCAAGGACGGACTGGTGGGCTCAAGGACGGACAGGTGGGCTCAAGGATGGACAGGTGGGATCAAGGACGGACAGGTGGGCCCAAGGACAGATTGGTGGGCTCAAGAACGGACAGGTGGGCTCAAAGACGGACTGGTGGGCTCAAGGATGGACAGGTGGGCTCAAGGACAGACTGGTGGACTCGAAAACGAACTGGTGGCCTCAAGGATGGACAGGTGGGCTCAAGGACGGACTGGTGGGCTCAATGATAGACAGGTAGGTAAATAGATGTGCTGGTGGGCATAAATATGGTAACTACCATAGCAGCATATATCACCAAATACAAGACTAGTGTGATTCTAAACAAGCCAGTGATGTGAAAACTAACCGTCCTTGGTCTTTGTTGAGATTTAAAGTCTTATATGCTTCCTCCATTGACATTGATGATGGCTTCTTCTCAACTTCTTTCTTCCATTCTTCAAGAATATCTTTCAACAGTTTCACCTATTGAGAGAGATAAAGTATAAATCAAAACACTTGGTATAACTGATTGGAATGGTTTACACATCTTTTTTTTGGGAGGGGTGACATTTGAGACTTGTTACGTTAATACAAACATGCATGCAGTCTCCTATTTTCAAGAATATTATTGTCCATGTGTTCATTTGCACACTAGCGGTATTATTAGCACAGGTCAGCCTACACTGTTACTTGAATTTGAATTTAGATTACACACATTTTTTTGGATCAAAACAAGCAGATTTCTTTCAACATTTTGACAACTTTGAAGTCCTTATAAATAGCCCCAAATTATTAATTTAAAATGGTGTACAGTATATTCAATGGAATTCTTCAATAAAAACCATTATTTTTCCTGACAATTTTTTTTCCACACTTTTATGAATTTTTTTGTAATTTCTTTGATAATTTTGAATCAAATCTACATCATTACCATTTATCTACAAGCTCTGATCAAAATTTCGACAAAATATGAAAACAACCGTTTTTTGTGTGAAAGACAGCATTTATTTACTTGTTAATAATAATTTATTAATAAATCTTTTAGGGAGAAAATAAAAGAAACAATAGAACTACAATACAATTATAACTTACAGGGTTCCTGATTGGCCAATTTGGAAATTTCTGCGTATCACAAAGATGGCGTAGATAGTAGATATTGCAGAATAATTCCTTCTCCAGCTGTGGAAATTGTATGGATGGTATAGGGCAATATTGATATAATGCCCTCGTGTTGCTTTGTAACCTGGGACTGAAGTCAGCGATGTGAGCGGCTATCTTCTCTATCATCATTCGCCTAAATAAATCATGATACTAAGAAATTAGTTACGAGTTATGTTATGAAGTATTATCAAAAGTGGACCAAGAGATAGCGATATGTAGCTTGTTAAAAATGTGATGATGATTCCATGAATGAGTGCAAAATCAGAAGACAAATGAACCTTTCTACTATGAATAAAATAGTTAGTGTTTATTCTAGTGTTCTGACATTAATAGTGTGCATTACATGTTTCTGTCTTTGTTAATTTGGCGAGAACATCACTCATTTCAGTTCACTCATGGTCAGTTTACCATCACATGGATCTTTATTGCAAACCTGGTTATAAATGTTACTTACAAATCTTTTCTTCTACCAATGGTATTACATGATGTGACAAATAGTGATATTGAAATATTTACCAGAGAATTATTATTTTTGGTATCACAAAGTAACTCAGGGATTGGTGGGTAGTTTACCTCATTCCTGTACTCCATATAGCTTCTGGAGTATCAACCTAACAGGGAGAATTGTGGGTACCGGTAGTTTACCTCATTTCTGTACTCCATATAGCTTCTAGCGTATCAAACGAACAAACAGGGAGAATTGTGGATACCGGTAGTTTACCTCATTTCTGTACTCCATATAGCTTCTAGCGTATCAAACGAACAAACAGGGAGAATTGTGGGTACCGGTAGTTTACCTCATTTCTGTACTCCATATAGCTTCTGGAGTATCAAACGAACAAACAGGGAGAATTGTGGGTACCGGTAGTTTACCTCATTTCTGTACTCCATATAGCTTCTGGAGTATCAAACTAACAAACAGGGAGAATTGTGGGTACGGTAGTTTACCTCATTTCTGTACTCCATATAGCTTCTGGAGTATCAAACTAACAAACAGGGAGAATTGTGGGTACCTGGTAGTTTACCTCATTTCTGTACTCCATATAGCTTCTGGAGTATCAAACGAACAAACAGGGAGAATTGTGAGTACCGGTAGTTTACCTCATTTCTGTACTCCATATAGCTTCTGGAGTATCAAATTCCCCAAGATATATTTCAGCAAACTTAGCATCTCCATGGTTTTCAAGATAGTGTACCATGGCTTCTGGTAATAAAGGACCTAGGACACTCCTCTGCATCACATCCGATGATTTACTCTGACAAAAACACAAATAAATTGACACCAATCAGTTGTAAATTAGGAATGTTCATTGTATATTTTCATCCTAGCCCAAATCAGCAAAATTTTTCAGACTAATGTTCTATATGTAAAGTAATGCAAAGTTATTGCTTGAGGCAAATTTAGGTATAATGAGAACCAGCGACCATACAATTGTGAAAAAAAAAAAAACATCAGTAAATTTTCATTTTGGTGAATGGTTGGAATGTGGATAACTTACCTCTTCAGCTCGGAATGCTTGCTTTACATGAGTATACTGGAGAAATCTGGAAAGTACAAATACGGATTAGTAATTTAGTAGTTTCTTCCTCTTATACACTAGTGTATTTGCCTACCAGTTTAGTGCCATACAATTAGTATAATTCCCCTCCTTTCTCATCTACATTTCTTTCCTTTCTTTGCGGCAGATGTTCAGTCACCGCCTTTCACACAAAATGTTGCAGTGCGCAAAATATCACGTACTGACAGTACATTTGAACATTGACCTCTATACTCATCTTCTCTATTACACTTATCTCCCACTTTCATCCTTCCCTCCTGTGATTACTTCTAGACTTACCTGCCAACTGGCAATACATTAGAGCCGGTATACATAAGTATGAAGAAGAACACACCCGTCAAATACAGCCGTGGTAACGACGGATTATCAAACATCACGTGGTACAACAACAAGGCAACTTTCTCTACCAATACAGGGTCAAAGGTCAATAGTAGCTGAAATGAGAAATATACAAAAATGAAACCGATTCTTTCAGGATTAACCAGATGTCTAAGATTATTCTGGTGTCAATTTAGCTATACCAACAGAATAAGTATGTGAGGACAAAAGTGAAAACAGTTATAGTTTATATGCTGTAAAAGGGTTAATTATTCACTTTTTAATTTTGTTTATTTCGCTGACTGGAAAATGTGCTCAATTAAAACCCAGTGAATATGTAAAATTTAGCATAGAACCAATTATCTAAATGATAAAACTGTGAATTTAAAACCTGCTGAATATGCCTGAAATGGTAAATCAGTGAAATTTAACCCATTTTACAGTAGTTTATATAGAGGTATCTGCAGATGCTGGAAGAAATAGATGATTGACACTCCAATAATGGAAATAATCACTGTGATGTGAGAAATACACACCTGCACTACATGAGGAAGACATGTTGCTTCACTAATTATTCGTTTTGGTCTTGGCAATGGACGAACTATGGCACCGTCATTATCCCTGCATAAAAGAAACACAGCCACATCATGAGAAAATAAGTTTCAACAATTTCTATTCAACCGACTTCATTCCTAATTTGTTAATCATTCTTAATGTAAGAATATGAATAGTCACAAAATAAAGACAACAAATTCAAAATTTTTGAAATCCTAGTTCATGACATGTTTATTTGTTTTACTACTTACCTGCTAGGATAATATTCACATACTTTTATTAACATATTTAATATTAATGTGGCTAAATCACTTTCATTCATCACAGCCTGTCCAGTTGCTAGGAGACACCACTTTAACTGTGGTATTGTGTATAGTGGTCTCCAACCATCCATTCCTTGGGCCCAGCATTTGGTCTTGGGATTAAGGCGACCATCTTCCCAAAAATCCTTCATCTACAGAAAAGTGTATATTACATGAATAACAAGTCAGTGAAAATGACACAGTCCCTGTTAAATTTTGGAAAGTTCTCTTTGTGTTCGTCATATTAAAGCGGAGGGGTTGTCGCGAGCCTGTCCTTGAAACTTGAGTTCCAAGTGGCGTATACAACAGATTGTTTATTTACATCAAAACACGTGTTCCGTGTAGTAGTAATATGGCCAAAAATAAAAACAGCCGTTATTCGTCCATCTTTGATCTGCTTATGAAACACACTGATATGTATGATGTACTGTAAAAGGATTAATTATTCACTGGGTTTTAATTTTGCTTATTTCGCTGAATGGAAAATGCACTAAATTAAAACCCAGTGAATATGTAAAATTTAGTATACAACACATTACCTAAATGATAAAACTGTGAATTTAAAACCCACTGAATATGCCTGAATGTGCCAATACGAATGAAAATGGTACATAAATTGTGGAAATATAGTAGTAAGGCCAAAAAGTCAGATGGCTGTCAATCGGCAATCCTTGACCAGATTTTGAAACAAATTGTCATGGACATGCATCAAGTACATGTATGTGCCAAATTTGAATGAAAACTGACAGAACATGCATAAAGAGATACCGCATAAAAAAAACAAAAAACAAGATGCCTGCCAGTTGACCATCTTTGATCCAATTGCGAAATAAATCGTCATGAACATGTATCCTAACATGTATAATCTATGTACCAAGTTTGAATGACAACTGACAAAGCATGTCCAAAATACAACATTTTCAAAAAACAAGATGGCTGCTAGTCGGCCATTTTGAATCGAA